GATGGATGGATGGATGGATGGATGGATGGATGGATGGATGGATGGATGGATGGATGGATGGATGGATGGATGGATGGATGGATGGATGGATGGATGGATGGATGGATGGATGGATGGATGGATGGATGGATGGATGGATGGATGGATGGATGGATGGATGGATGGATGGATGGATGGATGGATGGATGGATGGATGGATGGATGGATGGATGGATGGATGGATGGATGGATGGATGGATGGATGGATGGATGGATGGATGGATGGATGGATGGATGGATGGATGGATGGATGGATGGATGGATGGATGGATGGATGGATGGATGGATGGATGGATGGATGGATGGATGGATGGATGGATGGATGGATGGATGGATGGATGGATGGATGGATGGATGGATGGATGGATGGATGGATGGATGGATGGATGGATGGATGGATGGATGGATGGATGGATGGATGGATGGATGGATGGATGGATGGATGGATGGATGGATGGATGGATGGATGGATGGATGGATAGATAGATAGATAGATAGATAGATAGATAGATAGATAGATAGATAGATAGATAGATAGATAGATAGATAGAGTGCAGAAAGGGCAGAAGAGAGCAGCCAAAGTGATGAACGGCTAAGACTATCTCTCCACTCCAATGAAGGGAAACTGAAGAGTGGTGTTTTGTTTTGTTTTTCAGTTTAGGGAAAATATAGCTGGGGAGGAGCATGATACAGGTTTATCAAACTATGTATATGGTTGCAGTAAAAGAACTTTTCTTTTTTCTTTTTCTTTTACCTACCGTACAAGATTTCAGGGGCAACTAAGACACATTGGCTGGGCAGTAGATTTAGGGGAGGCAAAAAGTGGAATTCCCTGCCTGTGGATATAAGGAACGGCCATGAGCATGGACGGCTTTAAAAAGGGGGTTCGATACAGGAGTGGCCTGGAGCACTCCAGCCAAGTCACCTACAGCAAAGTTGCTCCTGGTGATGGATCCTCTGGTACCAAGAGTGTCGTGTGGCATCCATAGACTGCATGCCCATAGTAGACCCAGGGCACCTTCACACTCCCAACCTGCAGGGGAAGAGGATTAGAACTGAGCGTGTGGGGAAGCATGGAGTTCAGATTGTAAAGAAAGATGGTAACTGAGACTACAGGCCCACCCAGCGGTTCGAAAGCAATTAGTTGCAAGTAGATAAATGGGTACCCACCCTTAGTAGGGTGGGGGGCACCCTGCCTAGTGTGGTGGACAACGGCGGCGGCAGCGGCAACAAAACATCGGCCTGGAGATTGGAGGTGGCGTGGCGCAGCGGACCAGCAGCAGCAGCAGCGGCAGCGGCGGCAGCCGCCTCAGCCGGCGTGGAAGGCGCTGCCCCAGTGAGAGGCAAGCGGCGCGCTGTTGGCGCCCAAATCTGCTGTTTCGCGTCGTGGAGTGCGCGCAGGGGGAGGATGTGCGCTTGGCCGCCGTTGCTGCTCCTGTGCTGCTGGGGGCTGCCCCCTGTGGTCGGGCGCCACTACCCGCACAGCGCCGTGCTGGACTGGGCGTCCCGCTACCGGCTATCCTGGGCGCCTCAGGGCAGCGCGATCGCCTTCCGCCTGGAGGTGCGCACTCAGGGCTACGTGGGCTTCGGCTTCTCCCCGACGGGAGCCATGGCTTCGGCGGATATCGTGGTGGGCGGAGTGGACCGGGGCAAGCCTTACCTGCAGGTGAGGGCGGAACGGGAGCGACCTCCGTTGCCCTGGGGTGAGCCGGGAGGGGATGGGGCTTGCTCACCCCTTCTCCCGCAGTGTCTGGGGGAGGTCAGTCATTCTAGATGGCCCCAAGGGTGGATTCATAATCGGCTTAACACTGATGTGCAAAAAGGGTACCTTGAGTTCCACGCAGGTGAGCACACTAATGCAATTCGTCTCATGCTACCCCGTTTGTTTGTCTGTATGTGTTTACTTCCTTATTATCTTTTACTGTGTTACCCACCTAGTGCCAGAACATTGAAGCTATCAATCTTTTCCTCCTTTGTTTTTGAAACTATAAAACTTTCCCTTCTGTGTTTATCAATAAATGTCACAAAGTTGTATGCTGGGGGGTAGTATGATGTGTGCTATTCACTTATTGGACAGGGTCTGTCTAGTGTGACATAAAAAGAGTGGCTCTCTTTATGGATAGCCTTATGCCTCATGGCTGAGTCCTGGTACTTCGTTGGATTCTGAGCTCATACTTTCTGGAGCTCAGTAGTTCTGACAGAGTCTGGGCTTATTTGAAGAGGATAAACTGCATGTATGTTGACAGTTTAGGTACTGTGCCAATCCGAGGCAAACACTGAAATCCCCAGCAAAGTAATATTCTTCCGTCCATTGATATTTAGAGTTGTACTGAAAGCCCACTTAGAATTCCACATGTTTTTACATATGCCCTTTTCTGATCTCACATATATGTTTAGCAGTTTTAATTATGACAAATTACGATGTTTAAATGACTTTGTTCAAACTTATGCGCACTGATCCTCAAAATTGCCCATACTTCAGGAGCAGTTACAAAGCAGTTACAAAATTGCCCATACTTCAGGAGCAGTTACAAAAAACAGTTACAAAGAGAGCCAGTTTGGTATAGTGGCAAGGAGCATGGACTCTAATCTAGGAGAATTGGGTTTGATCCCCACTCCTCCATATGCAGCTCCTGATGTGACCTTGGGTCAGTTACAAGCTATTTCAGAGTGTTCTCTCACAACATTTCTCAAAAGAGCTCTCTCAGCCCTCCCCCCACCTCACAGGGTGTATGTTGTGGGAAGAGAAAGGGAAAGGAGACTTTGACTGAAGGGTGGGGTATAAATCTGATCTCCTCCTCCTCCTGAGATCTGCAGCCTGCTCCTTCTCCAGCATTCAACTGCATCCTTTCAGTGCTTATGGAAAGTTATCCTTTCTGGAGGTCTAGAGTGGCAGATTTAAGTGCCATTATCTAACTTCATAAAGAATTGGTGAAAATGTAGAAATGATGGGAACAGACAGGGGTCATTTCCTGCGGGAGCGCACAGGAGTGGAGTTCCGGCAGTAAGGAGCTCAGGGGGCGGGCACATGCAACAAGCCCCACCCCCTGCTCCCAGCAGCCCTCAGTTGGGCCATGAGGAGCAACAAGCAGCCAGGTAAGTTGCAGAGCCCCCCCCCCCATCCCGCCTTCAGGTACAAGCTCTCCCTCCTCTGTGAGGACAGATCTGCATGTCCCCTCCCCAATAGCTAGCAATCCAAAACAGTTCAGTGGAGCCTGAGCGGTGGGTGTTGCCTTCTGACACACTTCTGGTGATGTCAGGGGGTGTGGCATATGAAAATAAGTTATGCTCGAAACACTCGCCCTTGTGTTGGAAGGAATGCCAACAAATTGGCACTTTTGCACATTGTTGGTGGCAGTGTGAGAAGATTCTGGGCTTATGGAAAGAAATACAAAAACTAGTTAAAAGTGTTACAAACATAGATATGCCAATCTGCCCAGAAGGGCTCTTTCTTGACTATTGGCCACCCAATATAGAAAATCAAAAACACACAAAAACAATGGACATAAAAAAACAATGGACATAATGATATACGCTGCCAGGACCTCCATTGCTATGTGCTTGAAAGACAATCATCCTCCTGGAATTCAAATCTGGTACAGAAAATTATGGGATCAAATCTTGATGGAATATGTCACTTGCAAACTGAACAACGCTTCATTACAACCAATTTCTAATAAATTCATGGAAAAATGGGAACCCATACTAGACTTTCTTACAAGAGAAGAAGTTATACCCACATCTTGGTCTCAATACTACAAATGGTTATGAATCTGCCTCACTCTAAAGAATTCATAATTGGAATTAAAACATACTAGGTTAAATGTATACCTGAGGATGTCATGACATCTCACCAATTACTGTAGAACTATGTATGATTCTATACTCACATACTTTTGATATTTATAACATGTTGTTATGAAATGTATTGTAATCACTTCACAGAAGACGAATTTGGGGGATTCCCCCACTGTTGTACGTGCACTGAGTTTACAATTTGTATGTTGCTATCCTACTTAAGTGTATTTGACTGTATTTCATATTGATAACTGATGATTGCACATGAAAATTTGGAATAAAAATGTTATTTAAAAAAAGAAAAGAAAAAGAAAATAAGTTATTCTAATGAGCTCCTGCACCTCTTTTTCTACTAAATGACCCCTGGGAACAGATGATTTGATAATATGAATTAGAGTATGATGGGGTATTTTGGTGTATCATTTTGTGTCTCTGCAATTCATATTTCATGAGATTCCATGCTGTAATCTTTAAAGATTTATTTTAAGCCTATCTGGACCCTGGATGTCATCTTCAGTGTGACTCTGCACTTATGGAGGCAAAAGGCATCTAATCATGTGCTTTCAAGATGGGCTGATAGGTACTATGTTATCTGAAACTCCATCTCACAGTGACTGTATTCGCCATAGCCTGAGATCCATTCATCCAGTCTTTGATACATCACCCTGTTCAGTATGTGGTGTGATTTGTGCCCCCACCACCCAACTCTGCTGTTACTTGAGTTCTGATTTTATCCTACAAGAGCAAATTTAAGAAAAAGAGCTACCCAAAGTTTTATATCAATATTATTTCTAGGAAAAAAGATTACATTAATAGAGCCGATATTTTGTATATTTTTAAGTCTTGTGCAAAGATGTACATAAACCCCATACAAATGACTGTGAAAGTGCTATAGAGAAGAACTCTAACAATTCTCTCTATAAAATAAGTCACTACTCCTTCCTTCAAGTACTTCTTCTGCACCTGTTAAGCATATTAATCTATTGAATATTATAGCATATTGATAACATCTAACCCCAAAATGCTGGATAATCTTATTTGATGATCAGATGTAAGTATAAATCAAAAACAGATGACAGAATACCTTGTGAAGCCTTAATTTAGGGGCCAGGCAACCGATTCTGTCTCTTTGATGGAACTGTTTACTGTCTTATTGGGAAGAAAAGGCCAAAGCCATGAAGTACCATGCTACTAATAACCCACAATATCTCTCCAAATGATGTAGTAAAAAAGAAGTGGTCCATGGTGCTGAAGGCCACTGATAGGTCTAATAAAGCCAGTAATAAAATGTAATTGGCAATCACCCACCAGAACAAGCAAAGTTGTATTTGGCCTAAAATCTGACTGAAAGAGGTCAAGACATGTGTTTTTGGTGTATTGCTATCACTTGTTCAATCCCTTTGCCCCAGAATTGTAAATTTACCCTGGACTGTGGCTATTCATACTAGTTAGTCCGGCAACCTTTTCACCATAAGGCATTTAATAATTTTTCACCTTAAGGTATGCCTCTGTCACCGTCTCTGTTCTTGAGTGATGCAACTTTCTTCCATCCATCCATCCATCCATCCATCCATCCATCCATCCATCCATCCAATGACGTCAATACACATGGTGCTTTTCAGAGTTTTGAACTTGCAGTTCAAATGGCTATGCTCTTAGTAAGAATATGTACCTGACAAATCTGAGAAAAATTACAATGAAAGATTTCAACAATAGAATTTGGCTGGAAAAACAGCTGACTAATAGCTACCGTAAGCAAACAAAGCAAAATTAGAGAAGCCAAACTTTTCTTTTCCCCCCACAGTATTTTTAATCATTTCCCTCTGTTTTTATTTCCATAAGAAAACTTTTCCCAAGTACTTTTTCTAAGATAAGGAAAAGCTTTAATGAACAACACAAATCAAACAAATATTTCTTTCTCTTGGTGTTAGCACGGTGTTTTACATGGGGCTTTTGCTTCAGTATCTGGTATGATGAACAGAACATGAAAGAGGATTCTATTAATTCTTTGTAAACAGATCAATCAGGTTGAAGGAGGTAATTATGTTACAAAGACAGAAAGCAAAAGAGAACTTTACAAAGGGCCTACTCATGTTTTTAAAAGTGTGGCCGAGTGAAGAGTGAGCAGGGAATGATGTATTAGTGGCCAAGCATTCCAGGAGTTCAGAGATTAGAGTGGGAACCCAGATCTAACAATCTGGAAAGTGCGGGACTCACCTCTAAGTCAGAGCAGTCTCTCAAGCATGCTTAATAGCTCTTCTGTAAGGGGTGGGAAAAGGGAAAGGAGTGAGAGTTCAGCAAAAGGGGGAAAAGTTTGCAGAACAGTATATAGCTAATTGCAGACACAATTTCAGACAATTGGTAGTAGTGTAGATGTTGATTGTGAATATGTTTGAGCAAGGGGAAAAGACCCTCTCGCTCCTCCCCCCACTCAGTGCAGGGAAGCAAAGATGCTTGAATAAAGATGGGTGCAGCCTCAGAGAAATTGCTCCCATCTTTTTGTAGCAATATTGCCCTTCCAAAATAACTGAAGTAAGTTTTTATTTGCCATGAAAGTGCTCAAAGCAGCTCTAACTTTTTAATCTAGCTTTTAAGAAAATCCCTCTTTCATGCTCGCAAATTGACACAGTTTGCATTTTCTTACAGTTTAAGGCTTTCTCCTTGGTCTCCACCCCTGTCTGGAGTTGTATATCCCAGCCCACAGCATGTGGTAGCTGGGGGATCCAATCTGATTTGATGAATACCTATTTTGTTCAAGCTATCCAAGAGGATTGCATCATATGATCCATCTGCTGAACTCTTACACAAAAATAGTTCTTACTCAAGGCATCAGTCCTTTGGTTAATTCATTATTACTTGGAAGTGTTT